ATTAAGCTTAAGGAGAGTGTTCTAAACAGAGGAGATAGCTGGTGTAAAAATTCAGAGGCCAGAGAGCAAGGTACACTCAGAAACTTGCAAATGTACTGCAATTTGGCCTTCCTATAGAAGTTAGCCAGAGGGTAGAAGGAGAGGTCATGTGGGTGGGAAAAAGAAACAGCCCAGATGGGGGTAGGGCATTGTGTACCATGTGAGGCAATCTGACTTGATTCTGTGTGGAAACCAGGGAGCTTTGTGGGTGTGAGGTAGGGCTCACATGCCTCTCCAGCTACTGCTCCCTTTCCTTCCCCCTGTCACTGGTCATGCTCAGTCTTTACTGTTCCTGCAAAGGCCAGTGTCATTCTTGCCTAAGTCCTCTGCACTTGTCATTCCTCCTGCCTGGCATGTACTGTAAGGATTATTTTGGTTGCACTGTGCTACCTAGAGTAGAGTAGGTAAGTCAGAAATAGAGATGAAATAGGAGAGTCAGCCACAGTGGTCTAAGTGTGAGGAGATGGAGGCCTCACCTGGAAAGTGGCAGCACACAGAAAGGCACAGACAGATGCGTGTGATATTTTAGGAGGTAGAATGGAGAATGTTCGGTCAGTGTTGGACTTGGGGAGTGTGGATGATGCCTCAGACCATTGATGTTCAAAGGCATTAGAACCGCAGCACAGTATAGTCAGATCCCAGTGATCTACTTGGTGGTGTGTTTTCGAATGTCATTGCCCCATTGGGAAGCAAGCTGCCTGGCTTTGTTCACTGAATTGTTGTGAATAGAGCTTATAGGTTCCAGCTGCATTAATGCAACCCATGTCCTTGCTTATGTCCAGCCTTAATGTTTATGATTATGTGCCTGGGCTCTCTGTAGACTAATACCTAATAACATGCTTACTTGTGAGCATAATGGAATAAATGAGACAAAAAATTAGAGTAAATGACCAAGAAGGTCACAATCAAGTAATTCTTATTAAGAATCATTAAATGCACAACTCAGGTTTCCATATGTAAGGTCCCTTTAACAAACTCAGCTTAAATCATGTCCCTGACTAGAAATGTTTTTTTCTGCAGTTGTTTAAGCTCTAAAACCCAAACATTCCCAAGCCAGGCCCCCACTGAACAATGGACTGCTACTGCTTAGAGCTGTTGTGTTTACATTTGCTACTATAGAGATTTGGTTTGTTTCCGAAAGATGCATTTTAACATTTGTGTGGTGAGCCGCATTTGTTATATTTGAACCATGTGTGACGCAAGGGAGAAGGGTAACCACTAGATTTAAAGGGGGAGGGTAAGTATTTGGGTTAGCAGAGGTACTTCCTGCCAACTTAAAATGAGCTGGTTAGATGGCCGAAGAAAATTTTTAAATGTATGTGTGTGTATACACACTTATATGTTTATATGCTTAAAAGACTAATGAGATAGAATTTATTAAATTGGACTGTGCTATTTATATATATCCAAGACTGTATCGCTGTCACTTTGGAATTGAATGATATGTAACTCTCAATTGACCTAGAAGTGCTTCTAGGGCCTAATATTATTCGTCTTATATTTTTAGTTATATAAGTTATGAGGAGCCAATCAGAGAAAGGGAGAGGGCTTCAATGGATATTGGAGTGGTTCCTGAATTAATAACTATGGAAATGGAATTAATTTTCCACAACTAATTAATTAATAACTAATGGAAAACTAATTAATTAATAATTAATGGAAAACTAGTGGGATGGGCTGGAAAGCTTCATGTTCTAGTGGCTTGGTTTTTCTAGTGATAAACCCCACCCTGAAGCTGTGCGGGAGCCCACTGGGAATTGCCTCATCAGAAAAACCATTCGAGGGGCTGGGGATTTAGCTCAGCGGCACAGCGCCTGCCTGGCAAGTGCAAGGTCGTGAGTTTGATCCCTGGTACCGGAAGAAAAGACCAAAAGAAAAAGAAAAAAAAAAACCATTCGAGGAAAGCTGATTTATCCATGACCCACAGTGAATTCATTTCTTCATTCGAAAACGGTAACTTGAATATATCAGTGTAGTAGTTGTCTCTGGCTGTGTAACAGTTATCCCAAAACTTAGTGACTTAAAATAGCACACACTTATTGTTTTACATATTCTATGAATCCAGAATCCTGAGAATAATTTAGCAAGGTCTTCTTCATCAGTTTCTCACAAAGCTGCTATCAAGGTGTTTGCTAGGAATGGAGTCTCATCTTAAGGCTCAAGTGCAGAAAGACTCACTTTCTAGCTCATATAATTTTTAGTAGGATTTAGTTCTTTGTGAATTGTTGACCTGAAAAGCTTAGCTGTGTTGCCTGGAGGCCACCTTAAGTTCCTTGCTATATGGCCTCAAACATGGCATATTGTTCCATGAAAACATAAAGACCAAGAAGGCAATAGAGAATCTGCTAGCAAGATGAAGCCACAACCTTTTGTAACCTAATCACATAAGTGCCATCCCATCAACTTTGCCCCTCTCTGTTGGTCAGATTCAAATCACTAGTCCAGGCCATACTCAGGGGAAGAGATCCCACAAAACATGAACAAAAAGAGGCAGGACTCTATGTTAGGCAGTTTGGGCAACTGTGACAAAGTTCTCTTGGCCTGGGTGGCTTAAATAAAAGATTTATTTCTCACAATTCTGGAAGCTAGGAAGTCAAAGGTCAAGGTCCCCTCAGATGTGGTGAGGGATGTCTTTTTGGTTTGCTGATGGGCACTTTCTTGCTGTATCCTTACATGGCAGAGGGGGTGAGCTCTAAACTCTTTCTCTTCTTATAAGGGCACTAATCCCATCATGGGGGCTCAGCCCTCTTGACCTCACTTAATCCTAATTATCTCCCAAAGGGCCTAATGGAAAATATCATGTGGGGGATTCAGGCTTCAACAGATGAATTGGGGGCAGGGGAAGTAAAAGAGAAAAACTAAAAATGCAAAAACTTTTTTCTGTACTGTACATTCATACACTTCACTTCTGATACCAACTGGCAGATGGGTGGGTTTTTCCCAAACCAGCCAGTTCTCCAACTCTAGACACCATCTGGATATCTCACAATTAAATTGTAACATTGACTACCCATGGTTGGTACAGACTCACAGTTTAAGGAGGCAGTTCCACAAAACAGCAGTCCATTTCAGATAAGGGTTACAAGTAGTGGACCCCAGGGTTCCCATTCTTCTGTCAAACCTGACTACAAATCAAGGGTTCCTATGACCTCCCCTGGGTTTCATAATTTGCTATCAGGGCTCATAGAATTCATGAAAACACATTCATCAATTTAGTATAAAAGATATATTAAAGGAACAGTTGAATAGCCAGATGAAGAAGTACATGGGTTTAAGGTCTGGAAGGGTCCCAAGCACAGCAGCTTCTGTTCCTGGGAAATATGGTATACTCTCAGCACATGGACGTGTTCACCAACTAAGAAACTCTCTGAACCCCATCTTTCAGGAATTTTTAGGGAGGTTTCATCATGTAGGAACAACCACTTATTAACTCAGTCTCCAGCTCCTTCCCCTTCTCTAGAGGAAGGAGATGGGGCTGAAAGTTTCAAGTTTTTAATCATGGGAGGGTCTTTCTGGTGACCAGTGCCCACCCTGAAGCTAGCCAGGAACTCGCCAAGAGTTGCCTCATTAGAACAGAAGATGCTCCGATCACCCAGAAAACTTAAAGGAGTTGGGAGCAGGAATGAAACAGAGACCAAATGTGTGTGTGTCACTAGTTTTTTGTTTTTGTTTTGTTTTGTTCTTTTGAGACAGGGTCTTGCTTTGTAGTTCAGGCTGGCCTCAAATTCACTGTGTTATCCAGGCTGGCCTCGAGCTTGCGGCAGTCCTCCTACTGTAGCCTCCCAAGTGCTAGGATTACAGGTGTGTACCACCATACCTGGCATAATTTTTTGTTACATTAGAGTGTTAATCAAACATTTAGTTGATAGGAGGATAATTGAGATCTATCTTTGAAAGCCGTCTATCATAGTTGGTACCTATATTTGAGCTCCTCTGTTCTGAGAAAGTTTTTTGTTGTTTTTTTTTTAACTAGGCAAGACCAAAACATTTGATGTGTAGTTGTAATACACTAATATGTTCAGTGGTAGGTTGAATAATGCCCCCTAAAGATGTGTGTCATAAACCCTAGAGTCTGTGCATATATGGTCTTTGATAGCATAAGGAACTTTTCAGGTGTGGTTAAGGATTTTGAGATGGAGACATCCTTATCCACATATACAGTGTAATCACAGGTCCTTATAACAATGAGAGGCAGGAAGATCTGAGTCAGAAGGCACTGTGACAGTGGAAGCAGAGGGAGGGAAGAGGTGATGACAGAAGAAGGGGGTGTGTTAGTGCAAGCCAAGGAACATGGGCCACTTCTAGGAGATGGAAAAGGCAAGGAACAGACTCTTCCCTTGAGCTTAAGAGGGGAACTCAGTTCTGCTGACACTTTTATTTTAGCCCTGTAATATCCATGTAGTACTTCTGGCCTTCAGAACTGGAAGATGATAAATGTATGTTGTTATAAGCCAGTAGGTTTGCGGTAATTTTTTCCAGAAGCAATAGGAAACTAATTCATTCCCCCAAGAGACCTTGGGGAAACCCACTTAAGGCATTTTTTAAGAAACAAGGGATCTGAGTACAAATTATAGGGTAATAGGCTTCTGGGGGCTTTTCCTGCCCTCATTGACTGTGAAACAATTTACATATTGTAACTTCTCTATTTTTAGGAAACCATTTGCTCATTCTCTCATGTATTAAATCCTATTGATACTGACATGGTAAAACGAAATGTCTTAGAGTTCATTAAAGGGACCTGGGTCTCTAGTACTCTTCAAAATAAAGCAAAAACATGATGTTTAGCAGAGAATGATGAGGCTTCCACTTTTAAAGCTTGTTGCTTGTTATTTATTTATTTGTACCTCAGGAGTAAAAATATTGGCTGAGATAAAAGTACCTGGCACAGATCACTTTTCCCTTCTTGGTGTTTCACAGCCAGATGTTATGAAATTCTCTTTTTTCTTTTTCTTTCTCTTTAGTGCCTGGAAACCTTGGCTGCTATAAAGATCATGGAAACCCACCTCCTCTAACTGGCACCAGTAAAACATCCAACAAACTTACCATACAGACCTGCATCAGTTTCTGTCGGAGTCAGAGGTTCAAGGTAATGGCCCTGTGGATTTGTAACTATAGAAAAAGCTAAAGATTCAAGTGTGTTTTGCTGAGGTAATTTAAAAATGTGTATATTTTTTTAAAACTTGTCAAACCATACAACTCTACTTTTCTGCCAAGGAAAAATTAGAGGAGTGAGCTTAGGATTCAGGAGGGTGAGGCAGCGTTTTTGTTTAAAGACTGGGAGAAAAATTTCCAATACATAGCAGCATCATTGTTTGACCCCCTGACTGAGTTATATATTTGTGCCCTTGTGTATTATGAGCAGGGATATCACTGTATCCACAAAGAATCCGAGAATAATCCAACATAATGGTTTACTTCCTTAATGGAGTACTGGGCCTTAGCCAGTTTACTAATCCAAATGTTTTTTTTCTTCTTGTCCATTCTTTTTTCTGAAATTCATTCCTTAATCTTTAAGGTGCAATAATGCTATTGTTTGTTATATCAGAAAAGTAGGAAAAGATTTCTTTCTCCCTCTTTCCCTCCCTCTTTCTTGCCCACTTTTCCCCTCACCTTTCATACCTTCCTTCCGGTCTAAAGCCCTTTAATCAGTACCAAGCAGGGAAGGTAGCTTTTCAGGGTTCAGGGCCTATTGAGACAAGTGGCTGGGGAAGGCAGGTGACTCAGCATGATCCGAGCAATTGAGTGCTTGCAGGGGCCTTGAGCTTATGAATGAATGTATCAAAAACTGGAATAAAGCCCTTATGTTGGGTAGGGATTGGATTAGTATAAGTGCATGGTTTTGGATAGATAGAAATACAGAAAAATGTGCAAGAGTGTGTGTCTTAGTGAGTGTGTATATAGAAAACCCGGGAGTTGTGACATACTGATAGCAGAGAGTAGTACACTTAGCACCCAGATCCGGTTTCTAAATAGTATTCTCCACTAAAAAGAAGCTCCTTAGAGAAAATTATTGATTATAGTACTAGTTCTGAGAGAATGCAAAATGAACCTTAAACATGTTGTATGGGAAAGTAAACAGTGATAGAGAGTTGCCGCAGGGACACAAAAGCACCTTGAAGGAGTTCCCACCAGCCAAATTTGACATAATTTGAGCTAATCTAAACAAATAATGATAATAATACAGTAAATATGTCCCATTGAATAAAATAAGAATCCATAAATCCTTATTGGTGAATGAGAAGAAAAACATTCTTTCTCAGAGAATACTAGCTAAGAAATAGAGAAAAAGAGAAAAAATGAAGTATATTCATCACTTGCCCATTGCTGGGACAAAATACTTGACACCCACAACTTAAAGGTGGAGAAGTTTCATTTGACTCAG